AGACGGAGATCGATCAGCGTTTGACGATCATAAACCAGCAGAGAGTCAATACATTGCATAAACAGTAACACAAGCATTAAAATCACGAACAGTTTGCTCTGCACCAGACGGCCGGCCACAAACACTGGCGCCATCTTGGATTTTCTTTGATGATGTCTTTATTTCCTTTCTGGACAAGGACAGTATACCGTGTATACATTTTCAATGGAGGGACAGAAAGGTCTCGGACTAAATCTAAAATATCTTAAACTGTGTTCCGTAGATGAACGGAGGTCTTACAGGCTTGGAACGACATGAGGGTGAGTCATTAATGACATAATTTTCATTTTTGGGTGAACTAACCCTTTAAGTTAGCCTGACTTCGTCATACTCATATTCTAGTCAGAATGTGAGTCTGATACTGCTCCATAGGGCTTTGATTATGAGGTGTGTCTTAACCGAACCAGGAAAAAAAAAAACCTGCACTCAATTGAATAGACCTACAACCAATCAGAGCAACGCTGAGCTACTCATAGTTGTCAACAGAACTCAACTGCACGCACGCTGGAAGTAGTAGTAAAATAATGAGTGTTGCTTCTTTTACTTGGTCCTCCATGAGTGCGACCAAAGGAGAAACCACAACGACCACAGGGTTAGCATTGCGTCCCATCTTCTTAGCGACCATCGGAGCCAGCTGATAAATTAAACTTTTGCCGAATCCCGTAGGAAGGACGGCAAACACATCTTTCCGATCGACAAATGCCTTGATTGCAGTTCTCTGTTCGTCTTTTAAAATTAATGCGCTGTTGATTTTTTTTTACAACAGACGCGATGCTGGAGAATTGAGATGTATAGATTCCGCTGTCAACTTTGAGGGAAATCAGTTCAACCCAAGCGCTCTTTGATAACGTGATGATTACGTAACTGCAGAGCATCTGTCCATCATCGTATAAAGCCCGCCCTGGCAATTTGATTGGCCCGACGATTTCTGAACCGATCATAATTACTCCTCAATGGATCGAGTCCAGACCGAACTTCCCGACCAAAAAATGTTGTGGGCGGGGTTCAGGCTGGCATCCAGGCTATCTTTAAGTAACATCGGGTAGAAAACATGGTGTTCATAGTTATTTTTAACGAAATTAACAGTTGCACAGATCGCCTCACTCACACACACAGCCTATCAGTTCTAGCATTGCTAACTTGACATCACAGCCTGTTCATTATCAAAATAAAATAGTCATCCTAACATATAACAAGTTATACTTCTCACTTTAAATAGTCCGTTGTACAATCTGTGCCGTTCAGCGTAATCACCATCCCACTGTGGTGTTATGCTAAGCACATTTTTAAACTAAGGATGATGATGTTTTACTTGGATATTGTAACAAGAGTGAAGTAAAAAGTCTAGATTACATAATAAATCATAGTTACCATCCAGATACATCGCGTTTATTGAAACGTTTGGATTTGTGCCGAATGAGCGAGGTTGTCTACGTGAGCCAAACGGCGGTTTCAGTTTCACTTTAAATGAATTTGTTTTGGCTTGACCTTTATAGGCTATAGCTACTATATTTTTCATTCTTGTTCTATTCGGAATGCTGTTAAATTGAAAGCATTTATTGTGGAGGAAGGGGAACTAAAATAGCTTATAGCTATGTTCATAGAGTTTATAATGTTTGTAAACATTTTGCTCTATTTACATTCATGTAAATGTGCAAACTATCTGTTTGTTTGTTTTTCTCTCAAAAACCCAATTTATATGTAGCCTATACTATAGCGTATTTTTTTTACCATGCAGAAAGCATTTTCAAAAATTACTTTTTAAACCGTTTAACCGATTAACTTTAGCCAATAATCACTGCCAAAGGTTCAACGAAGTACTGAGTTACCGGTCTGAATAAGCCAATGTGATATTTCAGCTTTTTCTTTTTAACAAATGTGCAAATTTACTACAATTTAGGTTTTTGCTTTGTCATCATGGGGTTAAGATTGTGGATTTGGAAAAAATACACTGTATTTAAAGTACATTTCGACTATCAAGCTCCAACACAATAAAAACAAAACATTTATGGTGCTTTTAAAAGCAACATGTTAAGGTTGACATTTGGTCATGCTTTAACATAAGTTCATTGACATCCACCTCTTATAAAATGTGTCTCCTGTAATTACTTGATTGGATTTTGGCAAGAACCTCCCCTCTTATTTCTATTAATTAATTTTTTCTATTATTATTTCTATTAATTGTGTGGATGTTTATGATGCTTTTCAGCTTTAATTGCTGCTTTATTTTTTATTATACTTTAGTCACCACTTCATTTTTTCCCTGTCTTATTTCATTGAATAACCAGTTATTTTCTGTCTCTTTGGCAATAGCAATTAAATGGATTTAAAAAAAAGAAGGGAAAAAAAGCAAGCTAGTTGTGGATTATTCAGACTTAAAATGTGTGTATTTGCTGAAGGACCACACAAGAATGGGCCAGAACCAGAGACTTTCCAGATTTCAAGACTGCTAAGATGGAGGACACGTCTTTCTATGACCTGAGGATGAAAGTTGGGTTTCCATATTTATACACTCACCAGGGTGATTGTGAGCATGTTGTTATCCTCACTGACGTCAGGTCAGCCCTTTTTCATTTCATGCTAATTTTTCCAAGTCTTAATACACATTTATTTCCAAAGCTTCTAAAATATTTTGTTCTACTTCCAAAAGAATTAGAAATTGGTGTTGTAGCAACCCATAATGTAATTACAAACATAGTAACTGCACATTATGTAATCAATTTCTCAAAACAATAAAATATTGAGCTAATAATTTTTTTTTTATTGTATTATGCATACATGTATTACATTTATAAACTCACCAAAAGCATTGTCATATAAAAAAAAAAAAATGTATTCCCTTACAGTACGTTTAAAAACTTAATTCAAGTCACCTTCATTTATATAGCGCTTTTAACAATATAGATTGTTTCAAAGCAGCTTTACAGTGATAAATAGGAAATTAAAGTAACAGATTGTTTTGACTTTACAGACTTTACAACATAACGTTATTGTCCAGCTAAAGTTAGTTTTGATTGATTCACTTCGTTTGCAAAGATCATTAGTTATTAACTTAGGGGCCGCTTACACGACACCGTTCTAACAGAAAACCCTTAATGCGCTCCGGCCTGCTCATTTGCACGACATCAGTGCCTGGTGGCTCGAGAACGCAAACCTTGAAATAGGTTCCAAGGTGCAGGCGTTGAATAATTTTGAAGAGAATTAAAATATATATATATATTATTTTTAATTTTAAAAATAGATATCATCTCCACGCAAACTTCCAAAACGCGAATATGTGAAAACGCCGATGGCGTGCACATGCGTATTACGTGTTTAGTCTATAGCTATGCGCAGTTGAATATATATGTGCCCAGGCGTGTAGTCTTTCTCTACAAATTGACCTCAACAAAATATATTGTCTGGCCTTAAATTCATAATAAAGAAAAACAATTATCGCTTCCGCATGTCCATGCGAACCGGAATTTTGACGTTTTTGTCCGGACCTCCGCTAGGAAGGAAATATAGAGACTGGACCTCTTTAATTGAATACCCTGGTCTATCTGTTTTTCTGATAGATTGTATTACCCTCAAAACCTTCAATCTTTAAGCCTTTAAAACTTCTTCAAACTTTCTAGTCAGGCATTCATTCTCAAGCTAACATCAAAGTTTGTCTTGAAAAACTTTTTCTTATCTAGTTACATTATGATTTGCTACAAGTGTAAAAAGTTAACAGATTTTTGAAAGTCATAGTCAAGGATTTAATAGTGTGTGAACGGTGGTTAATTTTATTTGTTTCTGTCTTTTATATGGTGATAGACTGGTCCATCAGGATGACTGTTTGGACATAAAGCTCTACCCGCTCATCACTCACAAGCATAGAGTCGTGACTCGGAAGTGTTCTGTGTGTCATCTCTATATCAGCAGGTAAACCGTAACTTATTAGTCTGGTAGGAAGGGGAGCGTCACCTGCACCCGAATGGTATATTTTTTTAACCTAGTTTTTTGTAATCCTTAAGGTGTCTAGAAAAGGAATTTTGATGTTCCCCACGCAAATTATTGTCCCATATGTGATTTTTCGTATCATCTTTTGTGTCCGTGCTTGATTTTCGGCTGTGAAAAATGAAAACTTTAAATCTACATAGAATCTGAACAATACATCCTACAGACACAATCCACCCCATTTTCTCTTCGTCTTTGCATGAGGAATTGATAGATATGAGATATTGTCATGATTAGATGTATAGTGCATCAAAACTCAAATAAACACCAAAAAATGTAAAGAAATGGTGACATTGGATCACTGGAACTCCTCCCCTATTGATATACGTTTTCTAACTTTTGTATTTTTACGGTTTTTATGATGTCTAATAAGCAAATGTTGATGATCCCTACTTGAAATATTGTCACATGTTGGTCCAAATGAACATTACCCATAATAAGGAGTTACTATTCAAACCGTTAAATTGGTATTATATTTATTAAAACAAAACAGAAAACCACTCATATAGTCAAATATTTGTATATATAGGGTACAACAAATCCCCATTAGAATAAACTGAAATAGAAAAAAGTGATTCTAATCAAAGGTCAAGGGCAATGATGTCTATTGATGTGAACTTTTTCTTCTAAAGTGTAGGAAACTCAGAAGCGAAAACCAGGAGACTCGGTTGTATCTTTTTAAGCAGGATCCTTTATTGCTGTTGCATTGCTGTAGTCTGCTTCGTCCAAAAATCTTAGCCAAGTCTGACTAAAGGCAAAATATTTTGTGTTCATATACCTTACAAGGGGGAGGGGTTACATATAGTTGTAAACACTCTCAAACAAAGCATGTAAATGAGGCATGGGATTCAGCTCGTTACCAGAAATTCCCCAGCCCTGATCTCATCAGCATAACAGTGTCAGGTTTAGATGGTAATCCAATCAGCCTGATTGTATCACCCATTCCTTCACATTATCATAGAGCTTAATGGGGAGGGGTTACATCGAGGGGGAGACACTCTGAGCATAACTATTCAGAGACTAAGAGTCTCAGTAATCTGCTCATTTATACCTCAAATGCTAAATTCAGTCTACTAGACTTTCTCAGTTTATATACTATTGTACTGGAACCTAAATTAAACATTTAAATAAATTTGTAATCCTACATTTCCCCCTTTGAGAGTTCTAAATAACTCTCACAAAATACAAATTTAGACACTTAAAAATCTGTGTTTGCTTTTCTGTAATTGCATGCTGACACAGAAAACAAACATGCAATTAGGGTCCGTGAAGTTCTTACGAATAATAGTCTTTTCTGGTTGGAACTTTGATTTTCTCTTGAGAGGCGTGATCGAATGAAAAACTTGATACTGTGGACGCATAGATCTATTTCCTTTATCCACAGCCATGGTTTACCAATCAAGTTTCCGAACCATGAAGAATTATCTTCAGTCATCTGGTGTAATTTAGTTGAAAGATCAAGAAGGTCTTGTTGGACCACACAAGTGAGTCCTGGAATGCAGCCATCTTCGGGTGTGACATGCAAACATTCTTTCCAGCAAACATGGTGTTTTTGACATAAATCATCAGCTCTAAGAATATGTTGTTTCTGGAGTCCATACTTTGTGCGAGGTCCATGATGGTTAGTAGTACGACAATCTTGATCATGTTGATGGATGACTGAAGGTTCCGTATGTGGGTCTCTGCGTTGTGTATTTTTTTTCTTTTCTTTTTTGTTTCTTTTGTGATAGTTAGCTCGGAAATGGGTCTAGTTGTTTTCTGGAAGTGGTGTCTTCATACACAGGTGAGGAGGTCGGTGCGTATGGGTCTCGGGACAGCCATCAAGTGGTATCTGCACAGAGGAAGAAAGAAAACAAAAACAGAGAGCAGTATTTCTTCAAACACTAGGGTTGTCGCTGTAGTTGTTTAAGACACTAGGGTTGTATCCTTTTCGGAGTCTACTATTGTTGTTCTTTCTTTCCCTATTTCTCAATTCGTTTGACACCTAAAGAAACATTGAGGTGAGGATGGACTAATGGATGGGGAAGGCCTATGAGGGAGTCTTCACCCCAGGGTTGTCCCCCGAAGCCTGTGGCAATCGGTTCTTCCCCGGGGCTCCTCAATGTTCCTTGTCCTATCCTATCCCTGTAGATGTGGAACAACTTTTACCGTGTGACACATGAGTCCAGGTTCTCCTTCCTTGACACAATACTGCAGCTACTTTAATTAACATCACTTGATGTGGTCCATGTCATTTAGGCTCTAATTGCTTGCAATATTCTAGACACTTCCTTGACTACCTGTCCTGTGACGTGTGTACCTTGATCTGCGTAACACAATCGTGAGTCATTTCTACTTCATCCTCTAACACAGGGATTCCCAAAGTGTGGTACGCGAGCTGCCACCAGGGGGTGCGCGAGAGGAAAAATGTAATGGTGGTCTGTTTTGTAAGTGGGATTTTTCCATACAATAAATTAAAAACCATGAACAGTAAACATTTCCTTTGTAATCGCTTTTATTTTAAATAAAAAAAACTATAATTTATTAGTTTTTGATAGAAACGTTGAAAACAGCTGCTGTCTTCTACGCACTGCTCTGCATTGCAGCCGCTAACGTGACAAATGTGCTTTCGCGCGTTGGCTGGCGCTGAGCCAGTGCTGTCATATCACAACCATTGAGTGTTTTCAACCACATAATGTTTATTTTAGGTTTCAGACATTTAAATACACATAAGTACTAGCAAAACAATGATTTTGATTTTGCTGATTTCTATGGAAGCGGCAATATGAATCCTTTTCATTATAATAAGACGACACGTTGTATTCATATCAGATACACATTGTGTACGTAGCTTCACATTTTACCCTATTCTTCTCCCAGTTCACCGGCCTCTTACTTTCATGTATTTCGTGAGAAGTGGAGGAATTGACGTCACGTGTTGTAAATCCAACAGATCCGATTCTCTGAACTGTGGCACAAACTAACGATCGTTATGAAGGTGTTTGAACAATAAAACACATCCACTTGCACATATTTGACAATCGGAATATCAGTGTTTCATGCTATAGCTAATACATTTGTGAATATTTTTGATAAAAAAGGAAAAATGACATAAAAGCAAATCATCATTCATTCAGCGCTGTGTTGTGGTTGCGCTGTGTCACGTGACAAGGAATGACGCGTCACCATGGAAACATTAAAGTGACAAGTTCTAAATAACGGTCGCCTTGAAAAACTCACGCTGGGGGGGTCAGTTAAAATATTTTAAACTTACGTGTAAAGGGTTAAAAGTGGAAGCTTGTGCGTAGCTTTGTTGCATATTGAAACTTTGTTGATGTTGTTATTGTCATGCGTGTTCTGGTTATTAGCGCATGATTAAACATGAGTCTTTATAGGGCTATAAAACAAAGCTTTGTTGCATTTTTTTTTGAAGTGGGGATTGGGGGTGCGCCAACCCGGTTGGGGCATAGAAGGGGGTGCGCAGGATAAAAAGTTTGGGAATCGCTGCTCTAACACAACTTCAGTCATTGTAGACATCATACATGAGAATGGGTGAGGGTACTGTGAGGGTAGTTAACCAATTTCCCCATCGGGAGGAGGTGACAAAAGTGACTTTTGCTTGATTCATTATTGCGGTCACTACATGAGGGCATTTTAAGTTTACAGCCTGACCTAACTCATTACTGATGAGGGGCCTGTGCTGTAGCATAACATTTAAGGCTGTGAGTCTACTTAACCAGTGTTAAAGGAAAGCGGAGACAGTCACTTTCCTTTTGTTCTATTAAACAAAAATAAGTCTTTTATCTCTGTTGTAAGTTACTGGGGAAATTAAGCACTCACATCCCAAATGGTTAACACCTCAACAAGCTGCCCCACCAGTTTAATGACGTGGGGAGGGGCTGCTTCAGAGTAGCAAGCAGATTGAGTAGGAGCTGAGCAACATTGTTAACTTCTCTAAAGTTCTTTTTGCTTTTCCTACATTTTTTTACTCCAGTGTCCATGTTTACCACAGTAATAAACTGCCCTCTCTCTTACATGGTTCGTACAAGGTGCCTGAAGTACTTGAATTTGACTTTTTGAAAGTTAAGTCCTGGAAAACCCTTGAAAACAGCCATATTTTTGAAGAGGTACTTGAAAAGTGCTTGAATTATTATAGGGATGCACCGATACCGAGCTCATGTACTCGTAAAAATGCTCCGATACCAATAACCAATAGGCCTACCAGGCAGCGTGTGTAACGCATAGCTGTGGTGCGCGAGCTGATCATCAGGCCCATGACACACTGGCTGCGTGGCGTGAGCGTGGCGTTTCTGTTGCGTGTCAGCTGCGTCGCGTTTTTTGTGTCTTTGCACACTAGAAACGTGTCTGACGCTGCGTTGCTGACACAGATCACCCTTGTTCGACATATGGGAGAGAGTTGTGGAAGCCCTATACTTCGTGTTAAGCATAAATATAAAGCCTACTGATAAAGACACTGTCAGCAGTATTGACAGCAAAATAGACTACAGAATATTTCGTTCTGTATTGACAGGTGCAATATTTGAAAATTGATAATTAGGCCTATTTATTTATTTTTAAATTAGGCCTATATTTATATCTGAATTTGTCAAAACCTAGACTTTCAACCATCAAAATGTAATTTATTAATATGTATTCGTGTACAAAATAACATATAAACATATTTTCCTATTCTAATTTGCCTGAAAACGCTTCCAACACGCTTGCGTGTCGCGTGAAAAATAGGCGTCGGTTCTATTTCTAGCATGCACGCGTTTTCCGCGCGGCTCGAGCAGGCAGTCTGCAAGCTCTAATCTGTTAACATGGGAGCCGAAATAAAAATGGACACGCCACGCAGCCAGTGTGTCATGGGCCTCAGAGAAAACCGCGCAGTGGATTGAGCGCGCAGCAGCACAGACACGCTAGCTGGTCGAGCACATCTCTTTAAA